CTGTCCATAGTCAAAGCTGGCAACTGTCTAAGCTGTATCACTTTTAAAGTACCAATATCAAGATTTATCAGACATCTGTCTTGAAGAGTTTGCATTTTGTGATTTAAAGCAGCAGTCTGTGTACAGCTGATTTTCTAACACAAGGATTGACCACTTTCCGTTAGAAAACTATTCCTGTGGCAACCAAGAGCCTAGTGTTTAGAAAATGTTATCCCAATGTTTTACATTTCACGGAAAGTGCAGAGTTGTACTTTGATATGAACTTTTTTTTTTTTTTTTTTTTTTTTTTTTTTTTTTTTTTCCAGTCCTGCAACAGAATGACAGTCATGAGCATAGTGTCAGTCAAAATATGCATTCTTAAATTCTATTGAAACTGTTTTGCTGGTGAATGGTAGTTCCACTGAGACTGCATTTCCCCATACCTTGACCACAGTGCCAGCATCAAGAGATCTATACTCTCTCTCAAACTATTCTTTCCTACCCTGGGGCCATCTCCTCATCTGTGCCAGTGCTGTTGTTTATGAAAGCACAGAATAAACTGGTAAGAACTTAGCCGCATTAAAAATAACTGGGTTTTGCAGAATTATTTTTAAAAAGTCAGGTCCTCTGGTCTATATCATCATGTCTCCCCAAAGGAAGGGTACTATGCAGGTGGCTAACAGTGACTGCAGAACCAACAGGGTGGAACCATCCCTTCAATCCTGCACTTTTCATTTCCCTGATGTTCAAGTGTTATTTTGTTTATTACTGATGATATACTAACAGAGTTGATCCAGCATAAGGTAGCTTTGCTTTTCCATTCAGAATAAAAAACTTCAATCAAAAGTGATTGATTTTTTAAATTATTGTTTTGCCATGTTATGAGTTAGACCAAGCTCTGAACAAGGCAAATGATGGTGGTTCCACTTCAGTCTTCACACTTCAGTTCAGAAATTCTGTAGGAGGAATACTTCTGGCAGGAGGGAAAAAATGCTCAACTCTGATGATTGAAAGATGCATGTGGTCCAGCTTTACTGAACCTGACCAGAGGAGAAAATCAGATTGTCTGATTTTGTATACTGGACATACCTTCCTCCCGCGAGCTCCCCAGCACACAACACACAACCATGGTCTCTCCTGTGACTCCAGGTGCCAGATGCACTGGGGCAGCCGGAGCTGCAGTTCACTGCCTGCCTGCACCCAGCAGGCAGGACCACCAGCACTGAACCAAGGTCAGGGAGTCTGCCAGACTGGAAGTAGAAATCACATCTGTCCTTCCCAATTGTACATCCTGACATGCCAAAACTAAGATGCAAGGATGTGGGTTATATGTGCCCCAGCATGCTGGATGTACTTTTGTCATAGAGAGGGGAAATCACTGCATGATCCAGTGCATGGCTTCTCACAAGTCAAGGACATCAGACCTTTATTTTTTTTTTTTTTTTTTTTTTTTAATTCAAAATTGCAGCCAGCACTCAGCCATGGAGTGATCTGTTCTGGGGAAATTATTTCCTTTGTTCTGATTTGTCTGTTTGGTTTTATTTAAAAAAAAAAAAAAATCATACACAAATAATCATACAATTTGAAAAAAGAAATTATGATTCTTCATTAAAAAAAAAAAAAAAATCTGTTATTTCTCTTTGTGAAACCTATTCCATGTTGACAATGAATCATTTTAAGGTTTGTGTTATGAGGTAACATTTGCCTTGCACATTTCACTACCTTGACCCTCACTACCTTGGCTAGTCTCACAGGAACACATAGCTTGTCATGTTTGCTTGACTGATTTTATATATCTATTTAGCTTCTTATTCATGCGTTTGAATTCAGTTATCTTTGTATATTTTACAACATATGTGTAAACAATTACAAACTATGCATTACATCCTCTGCTGCAGTAAATCAGTGTGCCACTGTTAAAATCACCTACCTGTTGGCTGAGATGTAGTCCTTTATTTTTCTATACTTTCCATTGCAAAGACTTACTGTGTTTTAGAGGATAAGGTGTTAAAACTATACCCATTCGTATAAAACACTCTTCTTGCCTTATAAAAACACTGTCCTTCTTTACACTAGACCAAATGGAATTTAAAGCAGAACACTGTTCTGTGTTTAAGGTTAAAACAGGTTACGGAATCCATTAAGATAAAGATGAGCTTTAGAGTGCTACATTAGTTATGTCACAGAGGTTAAGAGAGCTTACCTAATAATCAAAGCCTGATTTAGTATTTCTTATGGCAGAAGGTTCAACTACTCTACTTGTACTAGCTTGCTATGAGTTTGTTTCTGCTAAGTAAATATTCTTTTTGAAATAATCAATTTCTACTGTCCAAAGTCTGAAACTCCCTACAAGGTATGATGTGCAGTTTTCCAGATGGTACAAGAAGCAGCTCTGCACAATAATGTGCACTGTACATTGTATTTCTCATGGGAAGTTTTCCAAAAGTACCCTTTCAAATAGTAATTTTTCAATATATTTTAGGGAAAAAATGGAGTTCTATGCAACTAGAGCTAACATTAGTTGCATGTTGTATGGCAATTGTTGGAAATCCTTAGTAAAAAAAAAGGTCATTTGAGGTGTAAACAAATTGTCATATAGTATCAGCTTATTTTTCAAATCCTAAAAAATAGCCACAACCAGCACTTTCAATTTGCCTCCTCTTGTCATCACTCCTGCTGTCACTCCTGACAACTCTATGAAGTAGCTCTTCAGTGAAATTCTGGTCTGTTACAGTCATTGAGAATTTTGTGTAAGAATTCACTGGAGCTAGAGATTTAACTGCTATTCTTTTCCCTTTGGAAAGCTTTATGATCTAATGACTGTTTTTCAGTTTGTAACTTTTCCCCTTTTTCTTCTTTTTCCCTCTCAGAAAATTCATTGTCTCATTCAGGAATCTGGCCAAGCTGTATATCTCTTCTCATTTTATAGCTAATCATTCTTTTTCAGTCAGCTCATATATATTTTGTTGAATGCAATTATCTACAACAATGACTTCAAAAACAAATAAATGTTGACCGTGAACTATATTCTTTTAATCCCTCCCCTGGGACTCTTGCCTCTAGTACATTGGTGTGAACGTTGCTATCAAAACCAACAAATACTTTCTTTAAGGACCTTTAGCGTGAATTCTTTGTTGTACAGGTACCCAGTAGAGACTAAGAAGGTGGAAATGAAGGTATACACATGTTTTACTAGGAGCTTCCACTTCATCTTACTTTTGGAGATAACACTGACTCCTGGTCTCTCTTTCCTTCACATGTCGCTTGAGCTTCCTTTGCAATTAAAAGGAAACCATGAGTTTGGGTTGCCTGCACTGGAAGCTAGTTGTATTTGCCTCTTTCTGGAAGAATGTCACTCACCTACCTCGTTGTGCTTCTTATTCTGTTCTTTCACTGTCTTTATATTTCCTATTAAAAAGTATCTCTTAGTTCATGCAATAACTGATTTTAAACTATCACTTTTTTCATCGACATTATTCAGTCTTTCTCCCTTCAAAAAAAAAATGGCAGTAGTGCATTTTTGCCCAAGTTTAAAGATGAACTGAAGTCCTTGAAATATAAAAGGCACCTAATATGGTTTAAAAATTTTGCCTTAATTTTCAATACCTGCATTTTAACTGAAAATGTTATAAAATTTCTGTTCTTCCCTGAAAAAATTTGAAAGACTAGTGTTTCTTTTATGTGAGCTGATTTAATCAATAATGTGTAGAGGAGCCCTGCTCCATTCAGCTGCTGATGCTTTAATTGTTGCAGGAGAAATACAATGTTGGCTGCCAGAACTCAAGACATTTTAAAATACAGTCACTGAAAATGTTGAAGTTGACACATAAATTTTGTTACTGGGACTAAAATTGTTACTCATTTCTTTTCCTTTAAAAATCAAAAAAGGTTTTGGACTACTTCCATGGTTTTATTTTGTTTTATTTTTTACATCATACTGACTTTTTTCCATTTCTGCTTTGATTTTTACTTATTAGAGGTTCTTTGTCTTTTATCCTCTGCAAAGTATTTTTGATCCACTCTCATAAACATGGTATATACAAATATGAGTTATTTTGTTCTATACTTTTGGGACTGAAGCAAGGACTGCCAAGAACAAGAGTGACATCCCACCAACAGCCTCTCAGTAACTGCTGGAAGAAGCAAAGAAGGGCCAGTGATTCATCTCTGCCTTTTACAACTCTTTCAGAAATTACAAGTGCTTTTTTTCAATTTATTCCACTTTTTTTGTCAGATGAGAAGATTCTTTAGAAGCTCCATTCACTCATACTTTAAATTAGGATTTGAGTAAGGCATTTGGGTTTGGGTTTTAAAGGCAGTATTTCATACAATGACTATACCATCTGTTCTTTACCACTGGTTCTTGGCTTTTCAGCACCAACCCCACAAAAATGGCTTAGACAGTCAGTTCTGTACAGAAAGTACAGCCAGCTCCTGCATTTTCTTGTATCTGTTACTTGAAAGAATTGACTTGTACCATAACTACACATCTCTGACACTAAATGCATTAGTACATGGAGAGAATACCTTATCTGCTTAGGAATTGCTTTCGTTAAAAATGCTGTTGCTGTGTCCCATATTTTCTCATGTTTGCCTTTAACGTATTTTATCAGCTTTTAAGTAAAAAGATCACTTTCTGTCTTAACTGCCTTCCTTCTCTTGTGAGGGAAGTGTCTGTGAGAGCTCAGAGTAAAGCTGGGCACCTTCTATGTGTGTATCACCACCACAGTCGATATTATCACAGAAGCAGGCACAATCATGTTGGGCACTGAAACAGGATCTTATAAGGGGAAGAAGGAAGAAGAAAGATTATTCAGGACTTTTATTGATTACATTTGGCAAAAATAAAAACACTGTCCAGAATTCTTCTGATGACATTAAAAATGTCCAATGACTGCATGATTAGATGAAAAACTTTTAACCAGATTTTTTTATAAGACAGATAGTTCAGCAAGCAGCAAGCTTAGAAATGCTTGATTTCCTATAGATTTATTTCTATTAGATTCTTTTGTTTCTAACAGATACCATTTCCAGTGGAAGTTTTCCCTACCAATGCATGGCTTTCTCTCCTTTGCAGCTTCAGTATACTCTACAGGTACAGTGAGAGCACACTACATCTCTTCACTCAGTAGAGGGATTAATAAAGATCCTCCCTTTAGTTGGTGATTTATTTTCAAGAAACTTTCCAGAATCTAGCATGTTTGAAATCTCTACACCTCTGGTAGGTTTGGTTGAGGTTGACCAAAAGATTTAAGGTAGGCAGATATCCAAACCCAAAAGTATTTTGTGAATTGCTTCTACTCTTTCATACTAAAGTAGTATATGTCTTCACATGTAGCCAAATGTCTGGTGTATAGATGAGTTCTCAGAAAGTTTCATTTCCTGTTTTTTATACTTTTTTTCTGGACCCTAGAGATGGCTTGTGAAACAAAAAAATATTTTTAAAGGTAATTTTGGTGAAAAGATCAAAGGTGTTCACTCTTCTCATGTAGTCTCAGATGTAACCCAGTATTGTTCTATCAATATAGATTAATTATTCAATAGAGAAAATGTTTTTGATAGTTTCTGAATAAATAGCTATACCATAAAGTATATATAGCAGAGATTTTATGGGGTTGCAGTAGTAAAGCTACCAGTGTTCATTGTGTTAGCTTGTGAGAAGTAACTGATTTTCTGTTGAATAAGTAGAGCAACACGTATAGTTGTTCTCAAGATGAAGTCTTGAGACTTGAGAACTTGAGAACTGAGGAGCACCACAGGCTTTTCTTTGTTTTCCTTTTGAGCTTTTAGGGAAATGCTGCTATGTTAAGCTGTAAGCAGATGTCCTCTTTCAGATTGTTTTCACAGAGGTCGCTACAGGCTGCTAAAAGTTGCTGCCCAAGTTTGTTTTGCAGTGACGTCATTTCTGCATGTGCTTTCTAATATGCTCCGGACAAAATCAGCTAATTCAGCTCAGATCATTAATTTAAACAGCCTGAACTGTCTTAGCTCTTCTTGTTTCAAGCATATCAGCTCTTTTAAACCATTTCTACTAGCAATGTGTTAACATTAGTAAATTATAGCAAGGAGCTATTACTGAGCAGATTTGGGCTGAGATTGAAGAGGACATTTCTCCATAGTCCACGTTTGAACACCAGGTAATTTGAGACAGGTTTTGGAAGGACAAATGTGCTCAGGTGCGTAAAAATGTTTATCATATGTGGTAGAGGTCTATGAAAGTATGACTACCATGGAAAAATCTCATAGATATATCTATATAAAAAATACAAAAATGCTAGTGAACTAAAACTAATGAACAAATATTACAAAATATAAAAATACCAGTGAAGATATAATAAATGTATGTTTGTGAGAATCTAATTAGCAATGACTGACATTGCTTACTCTTGAGAGCTGTCTGCTGTGCTGCCTCTTTTTTCAGGTTTTTCCTGGTGTTTTATAAACTTCTCTTGTTCCTAAGCAAGACTTCCTGTGACCAGAGTACCATATCACAATGAACTTTCCATAACATCTTACTAAATAGATTCTGAGAAAGAAACTCTAACAAAAAAGGCAGTGCTGATTTGTCTGGGCACAGCATTATTTGCTTTATCAAACTAAACACATAAATCCAGTTAATTTAAAATTAGCTACAATGCTGTGAAGAAACAACCAGTGCTTTTGAAACTGATTCTAACTGATGACTAAGCAAGCTTTGCTAAGCAGAATAAAACCATTTTACTAGAAGTTTTTGACTTGTCAGATCTGAAAGGTAGTCATGTTGGGTCACACCGACAGTGCATTCAGGAACATGTAGTGGGAGAAGGTGCTTCTAAATCAGGAGTTGGTGTCGTTTCTTCTAAATCAACACTAAACTACACTAGTTTGTAGTCTGGCAGTAAAATATTAAGATACATTTGTCAACATATAAAGTTGGTATTTGTAGACATAGCTGGCTTGCCTAGAAAAACATTCATGGCTAAACTGCTCTTGTCATTTCAGACAGGTTCTATTATCTATATAGCTTTTTGTTATCAGTTGTGCAGTGCACTGTAGCAATCTGTAAATGCCATGCCACTACTCTTGCGTATCAGTGTTGAGCAAAATAAGTGTAATGTAAAGGGATATAATTTAGATGTGGTTTATTAATCCACTCTTACACCAATGAATGAAAGTACTGTTTTAAAGTTTTTATTAGATTCAACACTATTATTATTTATTTTAAAAGAAATGCAATTTGCTCCTTGTTAAAAATGTAATAATGGCCCCACTCAAGTTGCTTTAAAAGTTGAGAAAGCTGCACAGCACTGCTGTCAAGAACCTGCTGGTCACTGCATCAGTCCAGACTGTCATGGCCTGAGCAATGAGCAGCCGTCCTGAATGATTATTTTTTGACTTGCAACAAGAAATAGTTTTTATTAAGGTCAAGCTTGCTGTAGTAAATGTTGATAAATGTTGTTATGTAAAAAATTAGGAATTGTTTTTTAAATTGCTAATGGGAAAACAATTTGTACTTATTGGCAAAATACCTTTTTAGAGAGGTTATTAGTAAAAGTTGGAACATAATAATAATAATAATAATAATAATAATAATAATAATAATAATAAGAAGAAGAAGAAGAAGAAGAAGAAGAAGAAGAAGAAGAAGAAGTAAACTACATCTGAATTAGGAGAAATCTGTTGTTTTTTCCTGACATCATTTAACAGAGGAGATTTTCTTTGATTGGACCCCCCCTGCTGGCAGGTACCCCACAGATTACTTTTACCAGATCTTCCAGGCCTGGGAAAGTGATTACTCTTACTGCAGTGTATGTATATTACTGCTGCCTTCATATTCATACTTTGTGTTGCAGAACTTTAATATGGATTTGTACTTGATTTTTTTATCCTAGAACAGACAGTGCAGTTTTTGTGTAGGATATTGGAACAAAGCTTTAGGGTCCAGTTACGGGTTTGTGCACAAAGAGGAAAGAGGTTATCCACAGTAAAAAATCCAGTTGTGTTTCTCTAGGTATATTCCAGTATTTCCTTTGAAACCCATGTAGATGAGAAAGTATTATAGAAATTATGTTTTAACATTGGGAAAGCTCTAGATCACCTGGTAAAGATAACCTTAAAAGATGATTAACAAACCTCATCTTTCAGAAGGAAAAAAGAGGGGAAGAGTACCTGTTGACGTGTTGAAATCGTCTCTTTGCATAGATGAGTGTCCTAGGATTAAGGACAATGTGTTTTTAATGATGAATTGAGTCACAAAGCACAGATCTTTATTCCACCGTGTTCTTTCTTGCTGTTAGGAAATGAAACATTTTGAGAATCAAGTTTTTGATTCTTTACTGTGCCAAGTTTCCTTTTGCAGCACTGATGAGGAATCATTAGTGAGCTTGTTAAGGCTCCTTCATTCTCAGGACAAATTTGCACATGAGACCCAGGTAGCACTGTGAAGCCTGTAGCAATTGCCTCAGCTCAGATCTCAGACTGACTGCCGAATGTAGGTGATTATCTTCAAAGGTTCAGAAATCTTAGTTTTATTTTTCACTAGAAAATAATAATTTTCAAAACCCAAAAACTTTTGTGGAAGTGTACCAGTATCATTGAAGTGTACTCGGGAAAAAATTTCTGAGCTTCTTTAGAGAGTGTTAAGAGAATAGCAATATGAGGGCATTCCCAGGCTGAAGTAGCTCCACATCCTCCTAACGAGGAGAGAGGGATTTTAAACAATGCAGTTGTGGTGTGCATCTCAGCATCTTCTCTTGAATCTACTCCACTTTGTATAAATCAGTAAAGAGTTGAACTGCAGTGATACTGATCATTTGCAGGGCTAGGAGGGGAGAAACTTCCTTTTTATTATTTATCCATACCAGAAGAACTTGAGCAGAAAAAAAATAAGCAGATCTACCTCAAATATAGTCAACAAACCTGCATTCGGTATATTCTACACAGGATGTAGGAAACTAGTATAAAATTTTGAACCCTCTCTATTCCAGGACAGGTGCATAATAATCAGGCTATTTTAGGGTAAGATTTTCTTTTATTGCATTTTAGGAAAAAACAACAACAACAACAATAACAACAAACAAAAACAAACAAAAAAAACCCAACAGCTTTGAACCAGTTTGGTGTTACCCCTCTGTAGAGTAGGATATGTATATGTTTTGAGGGTTTTTTATATCTCTAAAATTTGCTGGGACGGAAAAAAAAATTCCCATCAGTTCTAATTTGGTCATAGATCCATGGGAGGACAAAAGAACATGTAGGACCTTCTTTCTCCAAAGAAGATCTCCAGAATGAGGTGAATTAATCACTACTGTAATGTATCTCACCTGAAGCTTTTTCTTCTTACCCTAGTTTTGATCTCTTTTATTTCACCTACCTAAAAATTAGGGGCAGGTCATCAATTAATATAAAATAGTGTGACACCATGTAAATCAATGCTTAGCATTTGATGCGGGACTTCTAAAAGAAAATATGAGGGAAAAAAAAAAAAACCTTCTGTGGGTTTCAGGGAAATGAACTGTTAGTGGATATTGTGAAAGAGTTTAAATCTGCTGTAAGGGAAAGGCTGACACAGTGTTTGTCGAATTTTCAACTTGACGCATGGAGGAGCAGGTTGAGCTGTCTTGTGGTTTTGCTGGATGACGTTTGTCCATTGCCTACCTGTCATCCAAAACAAACCATCTCCCAGTCCGGACTTTTCACAGCCACAGAAACAGTGACTGATACTTACAAGGTAGGTCATCTCGAGGGTTAGTAGCCTCCAGGATAATTTCCTGAGGCAGTATGACACAGTCGTGTAACAGAAATAATGATTGACTCATTGTCCAGTATAAAGAAGTTGCATGACTAACAGTTCATTCAGTTTAAACTGTAGGTTTCTTATCTGTGACAAAGATCTGATAATAGTGAGGTGTATCTGACTTCCAAAAGAGTGTTCCTGTTCCTCTGCAAAATCCCAAAACAAGCCAGTGGAAGCAGTATCATCTTAAAACTAGGATAAATAAGAAGTGAGATTGTGCTTAAGAAAAGTGGGGAGAAGACCCACAGTTTTGATGTGTGTGCACCATCTATTATTTAATGAGATCTAATCTTGAATGGGGCTCTTGGGCACTACTATAA